GCACGCACTGTTTACACCTCGGTATTGTGGGTGTTGATTTCCCACCACTACTGCAGCTTGAATGCATTTGCTCTACTTACATTTATCCAGCTTCAGCAACATGTAATCACTCTTCAGCTGTAGTTTAATATGATTATGTTGTTTATTGTCAGACAGTACAAAAAAAATCAACATGATCTGCCTGTTTCACAAAAGACATTTTCACTTTTCACAGTAGGACGTTAATAATAGCTAAATTCCATTCAGCAGCTAAAGTTTCAGAGTCCTGGTGCATGCTGGTTCTCTTTCACTTTGACGTGGCTTAGAGGGAAGCTTGAATATAATAGAACCATTAGTTATATTTAGAGACACGCCGACGGTTTGCCAGGTATGTAAGGTCAAAATGTTTGCTATTTAAATGGTCTGTTTTTATCTCTTAGAACAGATTTACAAAGTCCTTTACAGTGTACAGCTATGTACATCCAGGTACATCTAATCTGTCCATTCTACTGCAGTTCTGCAACAAATTCTGCCTTTATGACAGCTCAAATATTCAGTTTTTGTGGAAATAATTTTAGAAGTCTCCCTCATTTATATATATAAAGAAAGAAACATTCCCTGCACTTATTTACTGATAGCTGAGTATATAATATATACTCTAATGTCTTTATCACCAAACAGTTGCCAGCAGACACTGAGCAGCACTAGTGTTCATTTGGAGTAACGTTACAGGCAACCTGATTGAATGTAAGTCCATTATTCCTTCTCATCTTACCTTTATTTTGGTTTCCACCAACCCCTGAGGGAAATATCTGGCTGCCTCGCCTGCTAAGAGCTCCACTATGTTGACCAGCTACTCACTAACATTCTCTGTCTGCTGTTTGGTGCTGCTTTGGAGGTTTTTTGTTTTTCTTAAGCGTGACCAGAACAAAAAAAAATTAGATAATAATTTAAAAAATGATTAATAAATTGCATAGCTGGTACAAATATCACAATCAATGGTTCTGTTCTGTTCAAGCGTCCCAATAAGCCTCGACAGTGTGAGTGACCCTGAAACCGGAGCTGCAAATAGAATTCAGGCATAATTAATCTTACAATTTACACCTGCGCCTTTCCTGCTGCGTTGTATCATATATCTGTGAAGAGGGCCACATGCAGAAAGGTGCTAAAAAGCTCTGTAAACCTGAGGTCAACGGCATAGTTGGGTTATAATTATCTGTGAGTATGTCGTTATTAGGGACACTTCACATCGCACAAAGTCATGTGATTTCTTGTTGCTATCGAAATATTGATTAGAGCAACTTTAAAATAAGGATGTGCAGCTTTACTGAACTGCAATATCTACGTAGTCACCTGGTTTCATTTTCTAGAGTGGGTCGTCATTTCTCTAAACAGTTATTGAAGATATAATGGAATTGTTTGTTTCAGTCCCTGTCTGGTCACTGATTAATAAGTATAAACAATAACCTAAATCCTCATTCTGGTGTATCCAAGTTACATTTTATCCCTCTGGTGTGTCTACACTGTTGCTTCTGCGAGGATGTGCAGCTTTGTGACGCCTCACCTTTCTCTCACTCGCTGCAGCTTGAGCACACCAGCTCTACTACTATGCTGCTAAATCACTATAAAACGATTCTGCACTGCTCAATGACAAGTTGTAACATCTAAGGAACTAAGTCATACATGTTTGAACCAGAAACTGATACGAAAGAGAAATAATGATACAGAAAGCCTCACCTCACAAGCAGACAGGATCGGTTCTTTAGGTTTGTTACAAATGAAACCCCAGCTGTCTGCATCTGTGTTTCTGAGACAGTGTCAAGGTGGAGCTGCCCAGCCACGGTGCTGACTGCTTGTTTGGTTCATTAGCAAGATAGTTCGAATTGGACTTATTTGATTAAGCTGACTTAGATCAGTCTTAAACACTTTGCAGTCAAACAAGACACAGGTGTTGCCATTGAACAGCTGTTAAAAGACGGACCAAGAACTGAAACTCAAAACAGAGGCAAGATAACAGGACTTGCGTAGCAGTAGTACAAGAAGTGAAGCGAGCTAAGCCTTCTTAGAATATCTTATGAGCATCTCCTGTAAATCAAACCCCAAGTGAGTTTATTTTTCCTGTCAGTAATTTTAAGTTAGTTGTACAAGTTGAAGTGAAGCTTAAATGACGTCAGATGTCATAAATGTCCTTCCGAATTGTTCCATCAGAACATTTCAGTCAGTTATCATCTTCAGACATCTGTAAAATAACTTTGCAAACTTAAAAAAATAAATAAATAAAAATCTGCTGCAGGGGATGTCATTCATGTAAAGAAACTGTGACACTTTAAGCAATTGCTTCCTGTGACATTTGATCAGTCATCAGTTCTCCTTTACTACAAGAGAACAGTTTATAACGTCATTCAGCTTCTCAACAAAAAGTAAAACCATCATGAAGCAGCTGCTGCAGGCGGCCGCTGCCCCACATGAGAGGATGTGGTTTGTGTGTCCCATTAAAAGCATCGACTGCATCTCTTTATTTTATGTGCTCAATTTAACTTTTTATTATTGTACCAAAATGTTCAGTATAAAAAGAAAATGACTCCTCCTTTCACTGCAAAATAATATTTTGTTCATTCATATATATATATATAATACTCCTTATGCACGAGCAATCCTTAATTAACTGACATTACTTTTAAGCCCATTGTGTGTCACTGCTAGGTCCTCGGATTAAATTTAAATCGTTAGCGCCCTCTGGAGGGACGACGCCGCGTCAGGCGTTGTCGAAAAGAGTTAGATTCAGTACCGCTGACTGACCACTAGAGGTCAGGCCAAAGAAACAGAAGAGGGCTGCACTGTATGAGGCACAGCTAATGAAATTAGCACTTGAAGTCATGAAAAGGTTTTTCATGAGAAAACAAGTTGAGGCTGTGACCAAACGCTGGAAGTAAACGCTTTTTCAGCTTGCGAGAGCCCACAGCACCTTCCTTTGTGGTATTTAGAGGGGGAAACTATAACACTGTAAACGATCTGTACAATTATGTGATAAAATACACAAGCTCACTGTGACTCAGCAGCAATACCAGTATTGATTAATAGTTAAGTTAATCTGTTAAACAGTCTATTTTGTTAAGTAAAATGTTGTTTATGTCTCAGGCTGTGGTGGGCTTTTATGTCAAGAGGATAACATGTTCGCAATAAAACACCCCCTAAAGACCTAACTGTATTTTCAGGCTGAATGTTTACCCACCTAGTTGTCATTTTCGGTTTATTTTGTGGCTGAAATCAGTCACACTTATGTCACGTACACTGTTAAAGATAAAGGTAAAGCCAGTGAGTCAGTCTTACTGTAAAATGTCACTGAAAAAGCAGACTGGATGTATTTCAGATACGGTGTTCAGTTTGTTGGGGTTTGGACTTTCAGTGAAGTTTTATTTTATTCTGTAAGACGTTTGGCAAATCACAGCTGTCTGTACAGGCCTTTCTTCTCTCCTTATTTTTTCAGATGTTCTTGTGTTGTACTGAATGAAACCACACTCTCATTAATGACAAATTTCTGTTTCGTATGTACCCACTTATGACCGAAAAGCTCAGTTGACCTCAGCAGGGATATGACTACTGGGTGACCCAACATTTCAGTAAATGCTGCCTACCTATAAGCCTCCAGCTGAGGAGCTCTGTGGTGTTATTTGTGTGGGTGTGAATAATAAACAGTATAGTGGCAGGTATTGGAAAGAGCTGATAGCAGATAATAAAGCTTATGCACTTGATTTCACTGTATGAAACTACTTTTATTAACCTTTTTGTACTAGCAAAAAAATTGTTGTGGACCTTTTCGGGCGCAAGCAGCTTCTACGACAGTCAAGCTTTGTAAAATGATATGTAAACAAAAATTTTAGGCATGGTAATATCTCTCCACTGGGACATTCTTAAGAAACTAAATGCTAACTAAGCTATTAAACACATCCATGAATGCCCGAATAACCAGCCTTATAAAATGGTTACGTGGGGGTGCCGAGGTTTCTGGTGTCTGTGGGGAACTGTAATGTGCCTTTTTTATAAATAAACATAAAACGTGCAACTTCTAACCAACAGAATTCAAAATAGATCTGGAATTGGATCATTTTCACAAGTGATCTCGAGCTTTTTGTTATTAAGTTTAACAATTTTTGATTGAATCATTGTTTGGTTTTTGCATTGTTTTGGTACTTGCACCAAAAAGATGTCCCAGACAATAAATACAATTATAGTGTTTATTTCCTAATTTAGTATATATATTTTAATGATTTATTCGTCTGACTATCTGTCTAATGTTATGTAAGGTGTGGTTTCTGGCAGCTGGTCGACCTTTTCGGGCCTGTGCTGTGTGAGGTGGGGACTCTGTGGATTGGGATGTGCCATCAGATTGGGGATTTGGGGGCTTTTGTCCTTTGAGATGTTCCTGAGCAGTTCTTGCAGTGTGGCTGGATGCATTTATCCTGGTGGGGGAGGTCGCTGGCTCTCGGGGTGGTGTGCTTGGTCTGCAACAATGTCTAGGTGGGTGGTATGTGTCAAAGCAACATCCACATGAATGGCACGACCCAAGGTTTCCCAGCAGAACATCGCATTGTGATGAGATAATCAATGTCACTCACTTCACCTAGGAGTGGTTTTAATGTTGTTGTTGTTGTAAAGGCTTTTATTCAAACAAGCACACACAGAAACACACTTTTGTCCTATAAATGCGAGGACCGTCACTGACACTTTGTGCTGTATTCTGACCTTAATCACCACAACTACATGTCTAACCGCTAACTTAAACCCTAACCTAAACCCAATGCTAATGTTAGCTTAACTTTATAGCCACGTTTTTATTTTTAAGAACTAAGATATGACCAAAATGTCCTCACTTTATTAAAATGCTCTCACCATCCAGGTCTAAAAATGGTAATCACAAAAGTCTGAAGATCAGGACAAACTCTCAGACTCTTAGACACACACACACACACACACACACAATTTTGTCATTTTACAAAAAAAATTATACTCCCAGACAAGAGCAAAGTTCAACACTTAGTGTCTTTATAAAACAAGATTTGCAAAATATAGCCAAGGCTCATTCATTTAAATACGCATAAATAGCAAGAAAATACTTTCCCATTTCAATTCAAATAATTTTTGACTTCTTTATACACAAATCAAAGATGAACATTATATGAAAAATGGGGCTTAAACCCTCTTGATTTGTTGCAGCAGAAAAAAAAAACACAAGCATACTGTGTAGCTAAAGCGGCAATTGATTAGTCAGAAATATACATCCTCTGAAGACACATATTCATAAACATTAAAACAAAGTCTTTTTTCAAGTTTGTGAAATATCAAAGTACACATCTTTGGATGGAAGTCATTAAAGAGCAATATAGATATTATTTTTTTTTATTATTATTATTTTACATCATCAGCAACGGAACCGTAATTAACACCACCATGGCCAAAGGTTTGTGTCTATGTACAATAGTGCAGACAAGGAGCTTAAATCAGAACAAGGCAGTGGAAGAAAAATAACACATTATCAAATATCCTGATTTAGACTTCAAGTGGGTTCCCATTGTTTTGGAAAATTATTAAATAATAACCAAACGTTTCAACCATTTTAATGGCTTTTTTTTGTAGAGCACTGGTTGTTTTCAACACAAACACAACTATTCAAAATAAAAAAAAAATCACTGAATTGTGTGAATATATGTTTCGGTTAAGTTTTAATTATGTCTACTTCAATTCCTTTTACGATGAGACTGAACTGGTCAAATACCATTTTTATACATTAAAGTCTTGATTGTTTTTCTACATGTTGACATATGTTTTACATTCATCATAGACCCTAATTCAGAACTGTAACAGCTGAGAGGCCCTGCTGCTCTGAATATAGATTTTATTGCATTTAATTTCAAAAGCCTCATTTTACTTCAGATGAATTACACAGAAATTAGAATTAATCACTTTACAGCTTTTTAGATAAACAATGCAAAACATTTATATAAAACAACACTCCGATATGTTTTCTTCAATTGCAGTGTCAAATTGTTGGCCTCTTCTTAAATGCTATGAAAGTATTTGTAAACATTCTCAGGGCTAAAACAATAGTTTAATGTAATTATTTAATTGGACAGTTGTCTTTTTTTTAAATGTCTGTTTTACCACTGCCACATCAGCAGGCTTCAAAATGTTCATTAATGTCACTCTTTCACTTTTTAAAAAGGTGCTTTAGCTTCCTGGAGCAGAACAGACACAGAGATTAAAGAGATTTTCTTGTCTTTTTTTTCTTCCCTCTCACTTCTACAGAGTTCATTTGGCCGGCTCGGAGATGGGTGGAGCACGCTCCAGTCTCATGGTCCAGGGGTCAGAGCTCGGAGCATAAAATGGAGAGTGGGTAAGCACTTCTTCTCCAGCCAGCGCAAAGGCAAACACTCCCCTCTGCCTCCCTGCTCCTGCCTTCTCCTCCTCTGCGACGTGCTTCCCCTCTGCTCGCCGTTCCTCCCTGCTCTCCCTGCCCACACCGTCCACGCTCTTAAATCCCAGACCCCTGTTGCCGAGGCTGAGCAACTCCCCAAGTCCGTGACTCTTGACCCCCTGGTATGCTGCAGGGCTTAACCCGTTCTCCTCAAACCGGTTGGTTGCAGCAGCAGGGGGGCACAGGAAGTTGCTGGTAGGTGTGGAACGCCAAGCAGCTGGCTTTCGTCCTCGCCGGGGGCGGGAGATGCGGCAGCTCTGCCTCTTGATGTGTCGATGTAGGTGGTCGGACCGTGTGAAACTTTTGTAGCAGTGCTCGCACTGGTAAGGACGGACGCCCGTGTGGATGCGCAGGTGGTTCTTCAGGTCGTAGTTGTGGACGAACTTGGAGTTGCAGTGAAGGCAGATGTAGGGGCGCTCACCTGTGTGCTTTCGCATGTGGATCTTGAGTTTGTCTTGTCTGAAAAGAGAGCAGAACCACATGCTTCTTACAATGTGTTGTGGGTGGAAAGGTTAACACAAAAATTACAATCCTGCATTCCTTTGCACTTTTAGATCTTGTGCTGTAGAAATGACAGATTTTTAAAGCCAATAAAGATGATTTGTCTTCACTGTCTACATTTAGGTTCTGCTCTAAAATACAGGTGGAAAATATGGCAAAGTAGGAGGATGTTAGTAAAATACCACTAATGCAAAGAAACCAGTGGAGGGGGCTTTCCACTTCAAAGTCTTTGATATTCAGATGAGGTGAAAACAGATTAACCTCAGTCAAAAGAGCATGGGGTACTTTTCCGTTAACCCTGCTGTTTTACAAAACCTTCTGCTTTGTAGGCAAAACGCACCGAAAAACAAGATCTCGTGATAACCTCTGTGTGGTTTGTTAACATGAAACTCCTGATGTTAAGAGCTGCTGCTGTACGTACCTGGTGAATCGTACTTCACAGATAGTGCACATGTACGGTTTTTCTCCTGTGTGTGTCCTCATGTGTCGCGGCAGTTTCCCAGCACCTTGAATGACTTTGTTGCAGATCGGACACTGCTGCGATGCTTTGGGCTTCATCTTCCTCTCCTCCTCCAGCTGCCAGGGAGGGAACAGCGCACCCAGATGGGACGCAGAGCTCAGGAAGCTCAGGTACGACCGGAAGTCTGCCTCATCCTTAATCGGACCCAGCGAGTGACCTTCTGATGGCACTGACCCAGCGTTCATGGTGCTGCCCAGACCTGAGCTGACAAACTCCTTCAGGAAGTCACCTTGGAGCAGACTGGGCGGCATTTCCTCCTTCATCTCCTCCTTTATGATCTCTCTTTTCACAGCTAGATCGAGGGGCCTGGAGGCCTCGAGTGGTGCAGAGGAAGGGAAGGTGTGAGGGAGCCTGGTTTGCGGCGAGGCTCCTGCGTGAGGATGCTGATGGTGGCCGGGGTCCAGGAGCTGCTGAGGGAAGGCTGGAAACTCGGCAGCCCACATGGAGGGGTAGAAGCCTGGGAGGAGAGGAGAGAAGTTGGCCCTCCGATCCAGTGTTGACATACGGGGGTACAGCCCTTCCTGGAGGAGAGATTCAATGGAGAAATCCTTCAGAGCTCGACTCTCCATACTTTCCTGCAAAGCAGACAGCATCATCAGTGTTGGTCATTTAAAATCTTTCTTTGTGCAGTCAAGCTACAAGCTGAAAAACAAAAGCAATATGCAATGAACTGTACCTGTTTTCCTCTCGTGGCATTTGGAGACTGTGACTTGGACGACTGTCTGTGCAGGTCAAACTGTTGGTGATATGTTGAAGTGCTCGGAGGCGGCGAACCCTCCGTCCCCGGAGGCGTGTGTTCTCCCCTGCTCTCCGACGACTGCATGGACCTTTCACTGACGTTGTCCTCCTCCTCCTCCTGCTCATCCTTTCTTGACCCACCATCCTCCTCTTCATCCTCCTCTTCTTCTTCCTCCTCCTCATCTTCCTCCTCCTCCTCTTCATCTTCTTCTCCTTCCTCTTCTCTCCCTCCTCCGCCTCCACCACCTCCATCCCCGCTGTCCATGATCTCCATGCAAACGTTAATGATGCAGGGAATCTCCAGCATCTGAGCTGCGTTCAGGATCTCTTTAACGTTGGACGCCGTCACTGTCAGAGTAGAAGTGTAGGCAAACTCCAGGATGGCTGTCAGAGACTCCGGAGCTACAAAGTCAATTTCGTACACGGCCGCGGCGTGATGGTGATCGCCACCGTCAGTGGTGGCCACTGTGAAGAGCTTCTTGAAGTACTGACTGCAGGCAGCCAGGACGGAGCGGTGGGTGCGGTACTCCTGGTCGCGGACGATGAGGATGACATCGCAGAGCAGCCCGTCACGACGCTGCTCGTTGAGGCTGCAGAGGACATCGCTGCTGTGATTTGGGAATGGGATCCCAATTAGGTCCTCTTCTCTGTGATGAACCATTCTCCTCTCGCTGTCTCTGTTGAACAAGGAGATAAAAGGCAAAGTAAACCATTTAGTGACACTTAAATGAAAAGGTCAAACTGAAAACGATTGTTATGAAGAACCCATATTTTTGCTTTTTAATTTTTTTGGTCATCTTTCAACCCACAATGGCATAACAGTAATATTTATGCCAACATTTTTTCTGGATTCAAAATATTGAGTGTGCAGCAAAATAAAAAATATTTTAAAAACATTTTCCAAATTTCAACTGTTTCCTAATCAAAAAAAAATAGAAATGCCTCTTTGTTTATTTTGTACAGCACAAAAATCATTGCTGTACTGTGTAAGAAAACATAAAATACTCAATACTAATAAGAATATACTTGGTAATTAAGTTTTAAATTTAGTTTTATGTTGTACAACTCAGTCTTAAGTCTCTTTTATAAATCACAATGAGGCTTGATTAACTTAGGAGAAGATATGTCACATCAGGCTACCATCTTAGTCACAAAAGAAAGCCTCAGCTTGGGAAAGGGGTAAAAAACTGTTCTTATTGTGCAGCAGATAGAATGTCTTTCTAGTTAATGTCTCGCCAGAAAAACCACCAAGAGATCTGAAAATAATTCAAAACTGTTTCATGTTGTGAAACGTTTTTTAAAAGAAAAAACAACACATGAATGTAATGATGACGATTAAACAGTCGTTAAATTGAGCTCTCTCGCTGTGATTTCCGGTTGCCATTTGATGACTGCTCACATTTACTGTCACTATGACTAAAAGCAGTGAAATATAATTCTCTTAAGTCCACACAGTAGATTTTTTTTTTCCTCTCCATTACGCAAAGGGTCTGCCTTATTAACTTCATTTTTAGTAATCACAGGGATGGAGCAGCATTTGATTTTGCTTCGGGGGATTCTGTTGAGAAGAACTTCCAGTCCTGATGATGAGGGCATGATGAGAAAGTAATGAAACAGGATCTGAAACACTGACTTAAAGAGTGCAGCAGGAGCGACAAGTGGGCCACAGCTCGGCTAACACCTGCACCTCGGTTTGAAATGAAGTGTCACAGAAGGATTTCAGAAAGTCCTGAGATCTGAATAAGGGGAGGCTCTTAACTGAAGCTGATATTGTTAACACAATGAGTGACAGTCAAGCTTTATTAAAATATACTGTAGGCTTGCTTGTTTGTGTGCCATCTGTGCAGCAAAGGCAACAAGTGGTAAATACAGCATGTCTCATTTTGAGCAAACATCACATTGGGTAATATTTATTCTTGAATGTGTTATCACGATTTCTTGTAGAAACGTGTAGCAACTGTGTGAGTTAGGGAAACCCATCATCTTGATAAGACATAAAACATCGTTTGGTTTTTATTTATTTATTTTTCGCCGGTTTGACACTCTGTGAGGTGTGATGTTAAGTACGTGAGAATCTCTGTGATAGTGTTCATCACGTTCATCCCTCTTTTTCTTTCTCTACCAGATATGGGCACAAAGCGAACTGATACCTTCGTCTGAACAATACAGTGTGCGATTGGGATGTGGTGAGAAGTGAAGAGAACGACAAAAGAGGTCAGATTGTACTCTAGATACTGTATCCTGTCAAAATGCTTACTTGCACTCTATCCTCACTCATTTGATTTACGGCAAAGTGACTGATAGGGCAGACTCAATGCACAGACAAACGTCTATTCACTTCGCTGTTTTCTTAACATTTCCATTCCACAGCTGCCTGAGTTCCTACCTGTTGATTCACTGTGCTGTTGTTTACAGTTACAGTGATAAAACTTCCACTGGCAGGGTGCTCATTCATTCACATCTATGAATAGAGCTTAAACTTAGCCATCCACACTTGGTGGTCACTGCAGGCATGTGTAGATAAATACTTTGAAGCGGCCCCGCACACCACAGCTGCATTGTTGACTGGCTCTAAATGGGCCAGCGCTAAAGCCACACAGACACATACGCGCGCACACACACACACACACACACACACACACACACACACACACACACACACACAGACACACACGAGTGTCTTGCTTTCCTGTTCCTTTCTGCAGCAAATCAAGACAGAGGAGAAAAAAAAGTAAAAACAATTTCAGAAAATCCCTTAATTCACCTGCAGGTATACAACTTGGATACCAATCTTACATGTAGTTTATTCTTGTCGATCTTGTTGCTAGGTAACTGTTGCTATGTTCATGCCATTGATACAGTGTGGACATAATTAAAATGTCTATAGAGGGGGTGGTGGTATAGGATATAGGCCCACGCCAGACCCGTGCACCAGCCTCGATGGAACAAAAGAGAGATAGGGAAAGTTACCATGACCAGAAAAAAATGATAAAATGATATATTAAACATAAAACTAATCAATAAGAATAGAAAAAGGGATTTTGTGTGTGTTAATTTTCATACACGTACACTACAATGTAGGGCAAAACCTGTACTATTAACTCAACTCACATCAAATTTGCACTTACTACATTCAGTTTACACATTACAGAGACCAGAACGATATCCATTTACTATTATATTTCATGCCAACATCCATAAAAGTAATAGCCTGGGTAAAAAGGTGAGAGAATCTCCAGTGAGAGAGCAAGGGAGAGATCAGATGGCCCTAAAAGTTCCCTAACAGGTTGCACAAACACCAGTGGAGGGGCCCCTCCCTGTAAGAGCCTGCCAAGGCAAACAATAGTGCAGAGCTTGGAACAACACCGAGTGGATAAGAGGGAGAGAAAAAGAGTCTGACTGGGAGGGCTTGGCGAGCCCACTGTCATTCGTTTGCTCTCGATCCATCCCACCCACTCCTGGAACTATGGGACACGTGCTGCTGTTGCTGTTTGTTCGCCTGGTGCCCCAGTGAGCGCCACTCCCCTCTGTTCCCACTGTTTGCCTGCCACTAGCTAGCACTAGCTCTTAGCGGCCGGCCCCTAATTACAATGTGGAGAGGATCTAAGGAGGATGTGCCACATAGACAGGGAGGGGAGGAGGGCACAGCTTTCCCACCACAAGGTCCTGGAGCGACATTTCATCAGCCAAACAGTCTTAACCCTTTGCACACACCCCACCCACCCACCCACCCACCCATCAGAGCAGCCAGGGTGGGGACGCCTTTAGTGCGGGCACTGATAATTACTGTTTAACTCATTTGACTCATAATCCATCTTTTCTTCCAGCGAAGTCAAACTTTTTTAGTAATAGAACTGACTCAATAAATAGTTGTCAGCTTGTACCGACCTGCTAATTTAAGGTGAGACCGTTTTTCATTTGAATAAATAAATGGCAAAAGTCATTCTGCTGCAATAATCAGCACCTGTTTCTATCAAACATGCAGCACTGCTTTTTTCAGAATTTCAGTTACATGTGTGAAAAGCTGTTCACACGAAACTCAGCCTCAACTCATTTATTAAACTGACCCCTTGTGAAGGCCTTGCTGTCGGTCTTTCTTTCCTCCTTCCTGTACCGGCCACATCTCCTCTCATGCCTCACTTAGTCACCAACACTTTCAACTCAGCACTCCCACCCCAAATTATGTGTCACCTCCATTCAGTGTCGTCTTTCTCCCAGGAACTTCATCTGCTTTCCGGGCACTGACCACCACCTCCTCCTAATCATTCTCCTCTTCCTCCTCGCCTCCTCCTCCTCCTCCTCCTCCTCCTCTCCCCTGTCCATGTTGCAGCTGTATCATCATTATGCCCAGAGTAGAGTGGCTAACTTGTCCCCAACCCTGACCGCTCAGGCCACAAATCAGCAGCTAATGTCCATCTCAACCCTTGTCACGGGCAGACACTCATTTGGCCTGTAAGCTACAACACCCAAAGCCTAGTTTATCCCTGTCAGGCCAGTGCATCCACCTGACCCACATGCTAAATCACCGGCAGCAAGAGTTTACCCCTGTCACCAAGTGCCCATAGCAAACACCTGCTAAACAACTGTCACAGACGGACAATTGCACAGCCAATAATTTATAGTATTGACAGCCAAAATTCACCCCCTTATTAGGAGAAGACATTCATTTGACCTACTGTGTAAGCTAGTCCATTATCACCAGTAAAACACCAGTGCACCTGTTTCTCGAGGAGACACTTCCTTGGTTAGTGTTTTGAGTGTCAATTGTTTGGAGGCTTTAGGCCGCATAGGCAGAGTTTTAACATTTTATCTTAATTGCTGTCAATTACAGCAGGTGAGGATGGTATATGATGCCACTTACACAACACGGTTGGTGTATATTTCTTTACAATAATGATGAAATGTCAGGGAGAGATTTGAGCATTTTAATTGCAAGTTTTGCGTAAAAGTTGAGGATTGCTTGAAACTTATTTATGGGAAATTTGCACTGTTATAGATTATGGATTTAATTTGAGGAAGTTAGTGTGCATTCATACACATTTTAAATGTAAGTGCAGAGTTTTTTATATGAAGTATTGTTATCATATTTTCAGAAAACTGGCCTGTGACTTCAACAAATTTTAAAATCCCCAGCTTACACAAAACAAAAGAGATTTATAAATGTTTCAACAAGTGAACCAACACATTCATGATTGTATTTCATTATTTACTTAATTTCTTTAGGGAATTACCAACAAATTAGACGTTTAATTAATATTTAATTTGTATTTAATGCACAGTTTATCCTATTTAACATGTGGAAGTTAACAGTGGACCTGGTCTGAGGTCAATTTAAGTCGCTCGGCTCCTTAAAGCGCCTGTTTGCACTAAGTGTCATCTCTCGAGCCTTCAGGGGGGCCCACAGCTACACGCCATTATCTCCATCACCCCAAAAGTAAACAAAACTTTACGATTCACTGCTGAATATCGGCTCCTCAATAAAGAATGTTGCTTCAATTTGAAATGAAGGACAGATTGCTTCTTATTCTACATCAACTTGCGTTTTTTTATGTCTTTGTTCCGAATAAAGACGCCCAAAATGAACAGACATCTGTCGTACAAGTGCGGGTGGCAAAGGATAAAATGAAAAAAAATACAAAACATTATTATTGAAGTAGGACATTTACTACAATTTTATTATTTATGTTTAAGTTTATTCATTTATTTGTGCTTTTCTGGTATTTAGAAATTGGGACCCTGAAAAACAGCCAGATTTTTATACACATGACCATAAATGTATTTTTTTAAAAATCAAATTGTAATGCTTTTGTTACACACTAGCAACTGTAGGTTAAAAACCGAAAGGAGCCAATGAAACACGAGAGGAACAATATGTGATTAAGCAAACATGTAATTGGTCTCACACGGCTCATTGTTAAATTTCCTGTCTCAGTTTGTGAGTCTGCTGAGGAGGTGTCTAAGTCTATGTACTTTGAAATGACCTAATACATGTTCCAATATTTGCTACAGATATAGAAACACAGTACGCCCTTCATTTGCGTTTTATTATGCAGATGATTTTTCTGTATTTAACTTCCCACTTACTCTCTATTGCACTCTACTGTACATATATTAAAATTTTGTTGCTCATAGTTTCAATACGGGGACTTAGTGAGTACAAACAAAACTTAGGACTTGAAAACAACAGCTGGTAAACAGTTCTAATAGTAATACTGGTCATTGCATTTTATAACTACATGAGGTAAGAGGTCCATAAGCTGACTGATTGTAAACAATAATTTGCAGCTTAGCCTCAAATCCATAACATGTTTTGATTTTGTCCATACTCTCAAACATCCCCTTTAACTTTATGAATTACCTGAGTATTTGTTTTGGATTTAAAGGAGAATGTCGTGTAGATACGGAAACCGAAATGTGTAATTACTGTTGGAGACAAAACACACACTTAAGTCCACTAAAACTACTATGTTTGACATTTCCAAGACGTGCCGTGATGCTATAAATGTTTGCGCTATTTCCAGAATTTATAGCACAATATTTACACTACAGCCCGAATAATGACATGCGTCGTTAAGTGATTTTATTGACCTGTTTGCACCTCGTCAGGCCTTCACGGTCTAAAGCAGAGAGCTACAACACTCGTATAAACACTAAGTGATGCCCATGTGCACACAGTAACATAACGCACAAGTGCAAGCTTGTTCACACGCTGGGTAACACTGTGACAAATTATTACAGACATATACACACACAGACACACACCCATGTGCATGCTCCAGAAGTCTGGCATCCACATAAATTTACACATGTCTTGATACGTTCCTCAGCATTCCACAGCTTTTCAGAAGCCATCACCTACCGTACCTTGAGTTTTCTCGATTCCCCTCACGTGTCTTTGTATTTCCAGACTACTAAGAGGCTCTGTTGCTCCTCACTTGACCTCTCAGCATTGCTCTCTTTAATTGAAACACAGCTGCCTCTCTCTTTGCCCGTCTGTCAGTCAGTCAGCCAAGCAGTCAGTCCATTCACAAGCTCCTCACACTGGGCACAGATGCCCATTCACAAAAAAATAAAATAAAAAAAAAAAAAACACCCAGGGAGGAATATCCAATGGAGAGAAGCAAAGCAGCGCAACAGAGGAGAGCAGAGTGTGATTCTTGGGTCTGTCTGTGTAGCAGAGTGGCTAGTGAGGAGTTTAGAGTCAGGCTCACTGTTGTGTGTGGCTCATGTAGGACGAGCGAGAGAGTGAGAGGAAGGGAGGGAGGGCAGCAGCACTGCGCTGTGGAGATGTCGCACCACTAGTTTTTATAGCAGGGTGGGTAGCTGGAAGATAATAATACCCCATCCTCCTCCACAACACAAGTTTAAGCGCAGTGTGTAATAAGCCCATGGCGCAGACACCCTCTGATTTAGGTCAGACAAAATGAATTTTTAGTTGTGTTAGAGTGGATTTTGGTATAAAGGGACCGGGGCAAAGAAACTCGAAGGGGTTGTTTGGGGAGACTGAGGGAGGGTAAAAAAGGAAAGGAGAAAGAGAGAGAAAAGTTGGGAAACTGCTTTGTGCACCTCCGCCGGTCTAGTCTCAAGCCGAGATGAGGAGATGTACATAAGCAGCAGCACACATGCAACTTAGAGCCAGTCAGTTTCAGTTTTACACCTGCTTTAATTGGTGTCCTGTTTTCTCTTAAATACCACATCACCCTAAAGTTTTTATTATCTATAATAAAACTTACAAGCCACCGAGACCTCTGTGCATGTGTTCAGGCACAGGAGGTTAGCAGAAAGACAGTGAGGTGCACATCTAATTACTGAAAAACATCAGAATATAAAGGCAACTCTGGCATGTGGCACCCTACATTCAGAACCCTATAAAGCGGCTGATTCAGTCAATGGTGTCACTGAGAGGAAATATTACTTAAAAGCTGCCTATATCTGAGACAGAATTAAACCACAAAAATACCACAAGCAACTGAGCACAGACTTCTTGTTTTGTGAACCGTTGATTAAACCAAGGTTTCAAAAACGAGGTTAAGAGGAGCAGAAAGGCCAACGTTAGATTTCTGTTTTGAGTCAGAAAGTACAGAAGCATGGTAACAGTTGGTGAGCACGCCGCCACCTCAGTCTGAGGAGGCAAGGGGGAAGTTCATGCAGAAAGGTGTAGAAATTTCTGAATAGACTTCGGTAGAGAAGAGGAACCCTGTTTTGCAGTAGATTTGACGAGACAGTCATCGTCAAGACAATGAGGAAACCAGAGAGATAATTTTGCAGAAGTTTGTGGCAACCAAACCTGAACGGTAACTTATTTAGGCTGCTTCCTGTGTTGTGTCACGATGCGTCTGTGATGACGAGAAACGAAGGGAGAGAAAGAAAAAGGGGGAATGCCTGTTTCCTCTGCTTTCACAGACAGGCCAAATGTTATGACATAGCACATTCACAGGATCTTAAACAGTCACTAGGATTTCCTGTATGACATCATTAAACCACGCCTTTTGTAATACTTCACTTTTTGATCATTTTACCGCCTGATGAGATACTTTGCAAGTCCAGAGGAAACCTGTTGTTTCTATTCAAACTGAGCTGGAAACAGTCAGTTATTGTACAGACAATAAAACTAAATTTAATAATCACATAAGGTAGAATATGCTGTGAGCACTTGTTTTCTTAGTGGTTACTGGACCTTCAGATCTACTAAAATATGTCTAACCATCCATATATCATAACCGACAATCATACTGTGAAAGCAGTCAAACTGTGTCGAGTTAACCTCCACAAACAAGTAGACATCAGAGTGTACATCAGACTGCTATGCCCACTTCCCCTTGGGGAAAACATGGACTGAAGCAAACCACAGCCCATGCCCATGGTGGTTTACACTGTTTTGTACGGGGTGAGAGCTGAGGCCAGCTCACATTGGCATCTAGTATATATAAACAGGGTTAGCCACTAACTGCTAGCAGGCCAGCCAGACGGCCAGAAAAACAACGTTTGCCATCCTATAAGATCTGCTATCTGTTCTAAACACGTTGCCGCCGTCATAGCAACACACAGTAAGTGGTACCTGTGTGGATTTCTTTGTTCTAAACTCAGTACAACTGCAGGCTTTTGTACTGCAGACTGTCACAGGCCACGATTGATGGAGAACTGTCATCTAATGGTTCGGACACAACTGTGAAAAATACAGCGATTTTCTATGTAACTAATTTAGGGGTTTAAATTTAATGTAGTCACATGGTTTAGTGAGGCTGAAATACATATTTATACTGTCACTGTGCTTGAGGTTTATTATAATAAAGAATGAAATTATTTTTTTAACTTGGTTATCAAAATAAAAGACTGAAAGGATTCTCGTGCTTCCTATTTTTGTGGTATAGTCATCAGGGTAAATGCAGATTTCTTTGCCCTCTCCGTCTTTGTCAAGTGTCGAGCGTGTCGACACGAAGAAGCGGCGACTCTTGTCACTGAGTCTTCACGCTCACAGCCACAAGTCATGAGGATTGAAGGGGCTGAGTGAGAGTCATCTGTTTTGTCTGTCTGTCTGTCTGACTGGCGTCTCGACGTACCTGTTTACTGCCACCTGCTGCTCCCAGCAAGATACCAGGGCACCAGATTGGCACTTTGGAGGGGGGATGGGGTGTGAAGCGTCATTACATAAAGTTGATATCATGAAGACTTTGATGCTGCACTCAGCTCGGCTTTCTGTACAATATTACAAACAGATTTCCAACTGAAAAATATCCTGAATCTGAACTTGACTAAAACTGTTGAATATTCTGAGGAGAACTCATCAGTAGCTCATTGTAGCAGCACTACAGCAGCATATCATAGAGCACCAATTTGCATGTGTCAGTTGAACAAAAGGACAAACTCACTTACAGACTTTGATTATTATGAGTGCAGTTCCTTGAAGGTTATAAACCTACTAGCCCCCCACTTACTCCAGAAAGCCCTATTGTGTGATCCCAGACTGCTTGACTGTCAGGTCTCGTTGTTTGACACACAGCAGCCCCATCGCTGCTGTTTGAATAAACCACTTTTCTACACACACACACACACACACACACACACACATCCACCTATTCAAACTGCCTCATGTTGATCTCCCCCTCTCTCTCTCGCTCTCTGATTCTGCAGTGTTCCCACTTTCAAAACATCAGAACTAGTCATTTAGTAATGAGCTGCATCAGCTCACCACCATTGCCCACAAAACTAGTGACTGTCTACTTAATGAACGGTGTATCTCGAATGTTGTTTGCACTTTCAGAGCTCTAAAACGTTTATGTCACACTCTGTCTTTACATTTGTGTGATAAGAAGAAGAATAGATGAAGGTTGGGTAAGGCTAGAAAAGAACTAACTTCCCTAAATTGTTAGTGACTAAACCTAACCAAGTCTTAGCCACAGTGTTGTCATTTCATAAAGCATATGTATTTTTCAGTGATTTTAGAACTTTTGTTGATGTCGATGTGGGGTGTCAGATCCAAAAACGTTTCCCTGTCATTCTCGCGGGCACGAACAAACAACACATTTTGTTGTTTAATTGTTGGAATACCAGCCCACACTTTCACACAGTCTCTCCTGGAAGGCATTCATATTTGTTGCACTCATTTGTACATATCAAAAGTGACAGAAGTACTTGTGTAAACAATAAAAAGTTCAAATCCAGCTTAGCTCACCTCCACACAGGTGGTCAATGACTTAGGGTGTAAATGTCAGGTTTTCAGGTTGCAGAAATTGTTGTACATGAACCCCAGAATCTAACATTTGGAAGATGTATAGTGGGAGGGGTTTCTATAGCAGGTCCGTCAGTATATTGGCAGTTTAAAATTACCAACTGTGAACCAAAGGTGTAAAAAGCAGCAATGTGTCCATAGATAAATAACATGAAAAGGGAGTTCAGGGAACTGCTTAGCAGACCTTCCCAGGATTAATAACTGTAGAGGCAGACAAACACAACCAGCCCGACTTGTGCTCTTTATCCTGGTGTCTCTGAGGCCAGGTGTGGCCTGGTGTGGGAGACAAGCAGGAAAGGGAGGCAATCCTCTCCCCCTCCCCTCCCCCCCTGACAGTCCAGAGATAGGGCATCATAGCAGCCTCCCAGGTCTACACCCCCTGTCTCCACAAGTCCAAGGACAGAGATGTACTCACAGTTGCAATGTTGCTTAAACACAAAGGGATGCACAAACCTTTCGCTGCCTCGCTCAATCACAGACAAATACTCACAGAGACACACACCCATCTGTCATTGCACTGAAGTCATTAGAACTCACCTTGGAGCATGCCATTCGGGTGAGTGAGGTGAGGGTGTTTCCTTACTGCTGACCTGTCTGTTTGTGCTTTAACTTTCTCCTGGTCTGTCTTCTTTTCAAACACCCTAATCAGTATTGGAAGCTTTGCCAGAAGGGAGGTAAAGTACACAAGCTGCATATTTAGGACTGCTAGTACCGAGAGACAGGAGATACAGTGTTATACAGGTGGTTGTAATGCGTCGTGTGAGCTCACAGTTTTGTGTGAGGAAAACTTAAATGGCTGGATTGTTTTCTTAAAGATGAGTGTGGTTAATTTGTAGATTTGTGGTCCACTTTTTTGTTTTTCTTCTGTTGCTAAAATATGGAAATTTACTGTGAACAGAATGTACAAGGAGTCAAAACTCCTTACCACCGGAGCAAGATGCAACTTCACAATGCATTTCGGTGTTGTGTTGTGTTCATCTGATTGGCTTGGTGTCGGTGTTTGTGTGTGAGCGTGTGCGAGTGTTGTGAGGGTCGTCAGGTGAATGAGGACAACTCCTTATGGTGATAACGAGAAGGAGGCCAGCCTTGGTGGGACAGCCTCTGTCTGCCCTCAGGTAGAGTGTGTGTGTGTGTGTATGCATGTTTGTGTGTGTGTGTCTGTGTGTGTGTGTGAGCCTGTGTACGTGTGTGTGTCAGCAGGAGAGCCCTCGGGCACTCTGGCACCTCCTAATTAAAACCAGTCAGGCTGCAGGGCAGGGGAGACAGATGCCTGTCATGACACACACATGAACACACACACACACACACACACACATGCATGCACAAGGTGGCAGACCACACTGAACCACATGCACACTCACAAATACACAAGTGTGATGCGTAGGTCAGCTATTTTTGGATGCAAACCCAATCTCATCCCACCCACTCAGGTATCACACAG